ATTTTTCAATAAGAACACATTTTTTTTTACTTACTGGTATATGAACTTGTTCCTTGATCACAATCACTATTTGAATAACTGGATAAATCGCCTTTAATTCTTTTTATTTCTTCTAATATTTCACTCAATCTTCTTTTACGACTTTTACTCGCGCGTTTCATTTTATATTACTGTTTTGGATTTTGACCTATCGGGTACAAATAACGAAGTGAGGCATTTGAAAAGGACACCGGCCGGAGAGAAATAGAGGGGATTTTCGACAATTTGATACCTGTGGCGCTGTAAACATGTACTGTTGGGTGTGAGTAAGGAATTACTACCTGGTGTAATTATTGAAGAAGACAAGCGAAAAATAATGAGTATTTTTATAGGTAATATTTTCTCTTCTATCCCAGGTAGAAATTGACGACCGGGATGGTACCGGCCCGGTACAAACGGCGGATTATAAGTGCCGGGGCGGTACCGGCAAATTGTCGGATGATAACTGAGGCAGGTATCCGGCATACGTACCGGGCCGGTACCGAATAATCCACGGGGGCGGTACTGGCCCGGTTATTGTTGGAAGGCATTTAGTGCCGGTTTATTACTGGCTGCACAATCGGCTAGGTACTGGTCCAGTACCGGCATAAGTTTGTTCATTCCACTGGCGCAGTACCGGTAAATTGCCGAAAGATAACTTCGGTAGGTATTCGGCAATCGTACCGGGCCAGCACTAATAAACATCCGACGCAGTACCGGGCCGGCACTAAAAAACAACCGGTTTGGTACCGTGCCAGTTAAAAAAATTACATTTCAGTCTGATCAATTGTTTAATTATTATTATCAATGTTATTATTAAATTTTAAATTGGAAACAGTAAACATATTAAATTCTGAAACAGAGAAACATAAACAATTATATAGTACCGGCCAAAATTGTCAGTCCACCCATTTTTGAAGGAATGAAAAAAATTTTTTAACATAAAATTTATGAAAACTCAAATTTTTTTTGGTTTATATTTTGAAAGACGATAAAATTTTGAAAAGAATAAGACCTCACAGAAGTCATTTGGCAAATATTTTTTCAAGATATTCTTAAAAAATCGTCATTTTCAATGTTTTACAAAAATTTGAATAACTTCTAAAATAATGAACGCTTTTTAATAATCTTAGGCTTATTTTAAAGGTCATTTTCTACAGAATAAGAATTACTTATAGTCATTAACCTGTAATTTTTTTCTTGGAATAAGCATGACGTCAAAGTTGGACAAAAAAATTGGAAAAGTTTGAAATAAATTTTTTGTACTAAAAACTATTCTAGAACATATATAAAACATGATATGGTGTAGATTCTTCAAGAAAATTTAATAAAAAAATATGTTTGAATTTCAAAAATTATTTTTCTTTTAATAATATTGTTTCAAATTTTTTGAATTTTTTTGTCCAACTTTTACGGCATGCTTATTCCAAGTAAAAAATTACAGGTTAATGCCTATAAGTAATTCTTATTCCGTAGAAAATGACCTTTAAAATAAGCCTAAGATTATTAAAAAGCGTTCATTATTTTAGAAGTTATTCAAATTTTTGTGAAACATTGAAAATGACGATTTTTAAGAATATCTTCTACAAATTTTGGCCAAATCACTTCTGTAAGGTCTTATTCTCTTCAAAATTTGATCGTCTTTTAAAATATAAACCAAAAAAATTTAGTTTTCATGAATTTTATGTTAACAAATGTTTTTTATTCCTTTAAAAATGGGTGGACTGACAATTTCGGATGGTACTGTAGAAAAATCTGAAGACTCGAGGAATTGAACTCCGGACCCTGAGGCTGCAAAGTCGACACCACATCCGCTAAACTAAACCTGCATATGAAAAGTAAATGCAAACTGAGCTTATAAAGTCCAACCGACATTCCACCTGGCAGCAGTACCGGGCCGGCACTAATATTCAACCGGTGCGGTACCGGGCCAGTATTTGTTTTTTAATTTATTTTAATTCAATTTAAATTATTAAAAATAACTAAATAAATAAAAATAGTAATTATAAATAATAATAACCGCCCTATTTACCGGCTAGATACCGGGCCGGCACCAATAAACAACCTACCCGGTATTAATATAATTGCCGGCATAACTAACTAATTAATTTATTATCTATCCCTATTGATATAAAATCATATCGCCGCCGCTGTTTCAGAAAGTTTTAAGGGACCCTTACAGTAGGGGGGAACATAGTCAAGGTAGGTCCATCTTCAGAAACAAGTTATATTTGACCTAAATTCAGGTCAATTTAAGGGCAGTTTTAACCTACAGGTCAAAATTACTCAAAATTTAGGTCAATTTTAAGGGCAGATTCAACCTACAGGTCAAAAACTAACAAACTAACCCCTCTGCCCTCAAAATTTAAGCCAATTTTAAGAGTAGTTATGACTTAAAGTTAAAAATTGACAAACTTATCGCTCTGCTTTCAAAATTTAGTTCAAATTTAAGGGCAGTTTTGACCTAAGCGTTAAAAATTGCGTTTTACTCTGTCCGTAAAATTTATGTCAATTTTAAGGGCAGATTTAACCTACAGGTAAAAAATTGACAAACAATTCCCTCTGCCCTCAAAATGTAGGTCAATTTTAAGGGCAGTTTTAATCTACAGGTCAAAAATTAACAAACAATTCCCTCTGCTCTCAAAATTTAGGTTAATTTGAAGGGCAGTTTTAACCTACAGGTACAAAATTGACAAACAATTCCCTTTACCTTCAAAATGTAGGTCAATTTCAATGGCAGTTTTGACCTTAACGGAAAAAATTGACGAACAATTCCCTCTGCCCTCAAAAATTAGGTCAATTTTAAGGTCAGTTTTCATCTACACCGCAAAAATTGTCGAAAAAACTTCCTCTGACCTGACCTTTCCTTAAAATTTAGGTCAAATTTGACATATTTTTTAGCCTATACATGAAAAAAGCAAATTAATTAGGATTTTTTAAAAAGTTTTAAAAAAGTTTAAAAAAGTTTTTTAAAAAACCCTTATATTAAAGTTTGACGGAATTTTCGACCTATTGGTTAAAAGAAGTTTGACCTAAATTTCAATATTAAGTTTCAATCAATAAAAGATGTTATAAATTGACATATTTTTTTAAAAATTCTGTTAAAATTATTTTTCTGTCCTCAAAATGTACTTTAATTTTAATGGCAGTTTTTTCCTACAAGTTAAAATTTGACCAGAAATCTCCCTCTGATCTGATATTTTCTTAAAATTTAGGTCAATTTTAAGGTCAGTTTTGACCTTCACGTCAAAAATTGACAATAAAATTCCTTCTGACCTACTGTTTCCTCAAAATTTAGGTCAATTTTAAGGTCAGTTTTTACATACGGGTAAAAATGAAGCCCACAAACGTCTATTATTTTACGTCGAAATCTTTAGTCCGTCCATAAATTACGTAAGACATTTAGGGGGGAGGGGGGTCAGCAAGATCTTGCGAACAATAGGAAAAATGGCGCTAATGTATGTAAAATATCTTACGAGGGAGGAAGGGGGTCAAATGTACCCAAAAAATGACTTACGTGATTTATGGACAGCCCCTAATGGCCCTTACATTACGTCAACATTTATGTCAACTGCAGGTAAAAAGGGGCCCAATAATACTTTTGACACTGAGAAAAAAGAATTATCAAATTTACTATGAGGAGTGTCAAACTTGAAAAAGTTGACACTATAATCACTTCCGTAAAGTAGAATTCTCTATTAGTTATCTTTTTTAATATCTCCTGTTATAATTTACTCTAACTCATTACTATGCCATCATATTAAGATAACATGATTTTAAAAATTAAAATAAATATTAAAAATAGTTAGGGGGTTGGCGCGCGAAGCGCGCAGGGGGGCGAAGCCCCCCTAGTTAATAAATAAATTAATTTTCAAATTTTTTTCTCTTCTTTAATTTTTTTCTGCTGGTTTAATACCGGCAAACAACCGGGACGACACCGGGCCAGTACTAATATTTTTGCCGGCAAAACTTCTGTGCCAGTAGAAATTATTAAGTAAATTTGTTTGCCGGGCCGGTACAAATATTATCACCGGCAAATCCCCTTCATCGGTATAAAAGCAAAACCAAATGGTAGTACCGGGCCGGTGCTGGGCCGGTCGTTATTTCATATCCGGCCCGGTACTTTTTTGACGGTACCGGCATAAGTCCGACTTTACTACCGGGTCGGTACCATGCCGGTCGTTAGTGCTGGCTTACCTCCAACTTTTCTGCCTGGTTAGTAATAATAATTGATTACTTTTCACTAATAAATAATTAGTTAGCTTTTTTAAAAAATGGTAACCAAAAAGTAAGCAAAGATTAAACAAAATTTTTTTTAAAATTTGCAGTTTATTTTATCTAATTCTAATTTACAGTAATTTTAATTAATATTGACAATTAAAATTGAATTTTTAATAACAAAAATTTGTGACAAAAATGAAAAGCTTCTTTTCCAATAAGAAAGAATATTTTGAAGACAATAAAAAACTGAAAGCGATAAATCAATAAAAAATGAAATATAAAAGAATTGATATAAAAAAGTCTCCTTGATTTATAAACGAAAAAAAAACAAACGCTTACATTAACAAATTGCATGGAAGAATATATACACCGTTTAAAAAAAATTATTTTCCACAGATTTATCAGAACACTCTTTCCAAGGTGTTTCATTATGCAAAAAGCAAAGCTTAACGTCCCACCATAGTAGTGCAAAGTACACATATTAAAAAATTCATCGCAATTTTCATTTTTCAAAAACAAATATAAAGTAGATTTAGAAACTTTTCATATTCTTAAAGTTTTTCAATTCCCTTTTGTTTTTTGTTCGCAAACTTTTATAATCAATCTTATTAAAAAAAAGAGAAAAAAAAGGTTAATTTTTTTTAAGTTTTACTTTTTCAAAAAGGGAAAATTTTACTTGCTGCGGTAAATTTTATGAAGAAGGTCAGAGTGTAATTAAATGCAATTTAATGTTTGTCACATAAAGAGATGATGAGGCTTACCTGTGTGTTTGTAAATCGAGTTGACCCTCTGCACGTGTCTAGTCATAACTTCAATGCATGCTTCCTCCGTGCCATATCGAGCGAAGAACTGATGATCAGCTTGCAGATAAAGCATACACGTTGTTTTACGTGGATCTACTGTTGCACGTTTGTTTAAATGCCTCACAAATCTTTCTCTGTCCAGGCTAAAAATTTAGGCAACAATGATAAATAAATTATAATGAATAAACAAATAAAAAAATTAATTAATTACATAAATAATTTAGAAACCTGATTAAGACGGATAGAAGACATTTTATATTTTTGTTTAACCTATATTGTCCGAGAAGTCCGTTTTTTTCCATTACATTTTATTTTTTAATCGACATTTCGAGACAAAATTTTTCAATAAACATTTATATACAATTCTTGTAAAGAAAGTACATATTAACAACAATTAAATATAAAAAAAATCGTTTTTTCTTCTACTATCATTTTTTATATAGGGTTATTAAATCTGGAAGGGCAAATTTAATTATAAATATTTTTTGACAATGTTATAAACAATTCTTGTAAACAAATTATTTATTAACAAGAATTGATAGTAAAAAAATCGATTTTTTCTTTTACTATCTTTTGCTGTAGGATGAATAAACCTTAATGTATAAAAATTTTTAGTGAACATTTTTCCTAAAGAAAAAGATTGCACAGCGTAAGCTTTCAGTAAAAAAACAAAATTTGGAAAATATAAATTTATTTAAACTACCGTCATTGCCCTCGCTCGCTGATGCTCGCTCGAATTTAATTGTCCTTTTTAATTTACACTTAATTTAACCTATACTTTATTAAATATTTCATTTTTAATTACAATTAATTAAATCGATTCAATTAATTTAAAATTATTGTTATTATTATTATGAAAGTTTTTCAAGCAAAAATTTTTTTTGCAAATATTACAATGTAAAACAAACATTAACTTAATTTTTATAATTCTTAAATTTTTAAAATATTTATTAGTTCAAATGCTAAAATGTTTTTTGTTGAGCATTTGATAAAATTTTTTTTATCAGAAAAAAATAATAAAATAAATTTTCTTCGTTTTGCAGACAAGTGAAATATTTTGATTTAAATTTTTTTAATTAAACATTTTCGATTAATAGTAGAAAAAAAGCGATCCTAAAATAAAAATATATTTTTTCTATGGGAGAAAAATAACTAAATTTTCTATTTTAAAATAATGTTTATTATTTTATATAGAAATTAAAATAAATAAAGAAAAAATAATGAATATATATAAATTAATGGCATTTGTAACATTATTACATCACACATTGTACAAAGAACGTTTTTCAAACTATGACGTCATAAGGATTCAACTGCCCTGAAATCAATAAAATTTACAAACTAAAAACCACTGCCAAGTTGTATATTTTTTTAATAATTTTGGTGCTCATTTCATGAACACTTTGCTTCCTCATAGAGATAATAATAATAGAAATACATGAATAACTTTTTATAAATATGGTAAAAATGATTGAATCTTGGGTCAATCGATGTATTTTAAATACCCTACAAGATAGTTATAATAGTTTAATGGTTAAACAAAAATTTTCAACAAAAAAGTTGAGAAAATGTCATTTTACACAATCTTTGGTTTTTAAAATACAAATAATTTCGAAATTTGTTATCGAATTTGGTTCAAAAATAGGTCAATCGAAGTGTTTTTTAATGCTCTACAAACTGGTAACGATAATTTTAAAGTTACTTCTACTTTTTTCAACAAAATTTTCAAAAAAAGTCTTATTTTCCAAAATTTGTGATTTTTAAAAGTTTAATATCTCCGGTTAATATGAACGAAAAATGTTCAATTAGGGCTTAAAAGATGCGCCTAAAAAACTCTATAAAATTATGGAAAAACATTTATAGGTGTCCTAACATTTTTTTAAAGTTATGGGCAAAAACGTTTTTTTGCAAAATTAAAAATCCAAAAAAAAATTAGTTAAACTTTATTAATCTATCACAAAGTACTCTCATTTTATGTCCGCAGATGAGATCTACAATTTAAAAAAAATTCTACCCAAAAGCTCTTCATGATTTCGACATATTTATGAAAATGTGATGTTTATACAATCAAATGTTTATACAATAATAAATTTATATTTAGGTAAATGATTAAAAATAACCTTTAAATGGTAGAATGACACTTGGAAATGAGGAAAGGAACCATGAAATTCCTCTCTTTCTAATGGAAATGAAGTTTTTAACACCTCTTTAAGTGGAAAAATGAATTTCTGTTACAAGTACGCTTTGTAATTGCAAAATTTCGGGTGGCTCAACTCTAACAACCTCTCATGGCTCAACGCATACTGCGCATGCGTAACATTGATGGAATACTACTGCGCATGCGTGATATTAATAGAACACTACTTAAAGGGAAGAAAGTTAACTTATGTGGTTAATGATAATCTATATATATATATATATTTTGAATGATGAACGGCGAAAAAAACGAAGAAAGCAACTTAATATAATAAGAGATTTTAAGAACTTTCCTTTAGTTTGAATTTATCTGAGTTTATGTGAAAACGAAAGATAACATCATTAGTCATAAACAAAGATTTGAGCCTGTCTTGAAATGAAGTAATAAAACTTATATTGCGAAAACAATTCAAAGGAGAAATTTCAGAGACAATGAAGGACCACAATAAGAAGGAACAAGACAAAATAAGGACGAAACATGAGAGATAAAATATAAATTTTTTTACATCATTAATCAGTAAGAAAAAAATTTGTTACATTTGTTGAATTTAATTAATAATTGGAATATTAATATTTAAACAGTCGACGGGAAGTTGACAAATGTAAAAAAATTTTGAACGAATTAAATTTCAAGTCAATTAAGATTTTAATCGAAGAAAGTTTTAAATAATTAAAATTAAGATTTATGAAACAAGTTGTAAATCCAGATGTTCATTAAATGAACAATTTTCTTCCTCGTTACAATCAGCAAATAGTATATTAAGCAACAAGGGTATAAAGGCAGCCATTTGTTTACGGTGATTTTTGTGACACGAGTGGAGGTCGAGGGCACCCTCGACCTCCACTCGTGTCACAAAAATCACCGTAAACAAATGGCTGCCTTTAGGCTGCGTCTACAATAGGTGAGATGTGAGTAACAGAGCACGAGTGGCGTGTCGTGGACGTTCTGGTAATGCAGTACTACCAACTGCTAATGCCGAGAGAAAAAATTGAAAAGATTGCATAATGAATTTTCATCTTTTTTAATTTCAACAATGTAGTTATATTTTTTAAAGTAAACCAATTTTTTTAAGTCATTCGCTTTAATTTTGCTATTGATAAAAAATAATTCAATTATTTTAATTTTTATTAATTTCTGTTTTTTATAGTAATTTGAGTTAATCTAGATTCGAGAAAATTAAGTTTCCATAAACTAAATATTTTATTATCTTACATTTCGGAAAATTCTGCATTTAAATAAATGACATCTAGAAAATAATAATACTAGGGTAAATAATAATTTTACCTGTTTAATTTTCATCTTTTTTTATTAGGGTTAGACGGTCTTCTAATTATTCAACACTAGCAAAATCGTACGCGCGTGAATTATTTAAAGAATTATCACGGTAGTAATCTGTCTACCTACCTTCCACAGAAAAAGTTTAATAAATTTAATTTATATTGTTCCATGTTTATAATAGTTATGATTTTTTAAAAAATCTCGGTATTTAAACTAAATTATCATTTCAACGCCTCAGAAGCCATTTAAAAAAATTGCAAGAGGATCCAAGGCGGGGAAAGCAGTGATTTTAATTTTTTGTCACGGATTTTTCAGAAATCCTAGAATATAAAATAAATCATTATTAAAAAAATCAATATCACTGCTTTCCCCGCCTTCGATCCTCTTGCAAATACGTTTAATGATTTCTAACATTAAAATAAAAAATTAGCAAACGAAAAAAAATTGCTTCCAAGGCGTGGAAATTATAATTTATAGTTTAAATACCGTGATTTTTAGAAAATCCGTGAAAAAAATCAAAATTACTACTTTCCTTGCCTTGGATCCTTTTGAGATTTTTTTAATGGCTTCTGTTATTAAAATAAATATAATTATCAAGTGAAAAAACATGCCTCTATTTAACTCAAACATTTTTTAAGCTCATATAAATGTAATAAAATTCAAACTCAAAAGATTTAAATTATAATTTCTTCAAATATTTATTTATTTTCATTCTTATGTTTCTAATAATGGTTGGGGTACAGTTGTTCTAAATCGTATTTTCTAAAAAAATTTTTTCTAATAAAGGTAAATCTCTAAAAAAAACTTTTTTCTAATAAAGGTGATTTTGAAATTTTCTGTCTTCTAATAAAGCTAATTTTCTAAAAATTTATTTTTCTAATAAAGGTAATTTTTAAAATTTTCTTTCTTCTAACAATATTCAATTTTTGTAATCACGATCAATGTACATATGATTAAAGGTACATATGATTAAAAAATAAAATTTACAAAAATTTGTTAATTCTTAAAAAAAAATACATGAGATTTCGTTAAAAAATTATTAAAAAAATAGAAATTATGCAAATTTTTTAACAAAATTTTAAAATAATATAGTTAAAAATCGTAATTAACAAATAGAAATTATAGGGATTTTTTTCCTAAAGATATTTAAGATTTTCTAAAAGAATTTTTTATAAATATATTAACTTTAGAAATTTTAGTGTAAAAATAATGCAAATTTTTTTTTTTCAAAGAAGAACAGAATTCTGTTAACAAATTGTGATAAGAAATTGTAATTTTATAAAAATTTTTCTTCATTTTCAAAAAAAAACTTATAATTTTGTAAACACAATTGTGATTAAAAAACAAAAAATATGTAAAATAGTTTCAATTTCTTAATCTTAATTTTTTAACAATTTTCTAATTTTTATTAAAATTATGGAATTTTACAAATTTTAGGAAAATTGTTAGTATTCATCCGAAAAATATATTGAAAGCATTGTAATGTTGATAAGGAAGAAAAGAAATTTTTAATAGAATTTATAAGTATTATTTTTTTTGAAATAAATACCAATTAAATAATATTGTAAAAAAATTGTTCGAATTTAACACAAAAAAAAATATGGTAAATTTGACTACTTTTTTACTATTTCCTGTAGTTCCTATAGGCGCCCGTAACATTATTTAGTA